AGAGCATCCCTCTGAGATTAGGTTTTGACAAAAAGCATTATAACTCTCTGCAAACGTTTGGTCTGAACAAAAAGACAATGTTCTGACTCCTGCTGTCTTGTCACTATAAGGCAAAGATAGGTCTTACATAAGTTGACAAAAAGGAAAGAAAGTTGAAAGTCAACATCTGTGACTGTAAATGTTTCATTAATTTATTTTCTTCATAAAATGTATCAAGAAGTGTCTTTATGTCTAGTTCTACACTAAATCTAATAAATGATGAAATGTTGGTATGAGGACTCTCAGCAAATAGAGCTGAAACAGAGCCAACCTTTGAACTTCTTTTTAAAATGTTGAACTCAGTACTTTTTTTATTCAGGTTTTACCTTTTTTATTATTTTATTTAAATGGAAAACTAACAAATTTGAGTGTGCTTTGGAATTTTTGCAAAGGTTGCCAAAAAAAATGTCATGTTTCTATTCATTTAGAGGCAAGAACATTGCTGGAGAACTGTGTGTTTTCACGTGCCAATGTCAATTTGATTCCTATAGCACATAAAAACAACAGAAGTTGACCACAGTGCTTTACAATCAAACGCAAAAGGTAAGACAAACGAAAAACAAAGGAATGTAAGAAATAATAAAAGAATAAGTAAAGTGTAAATAAAATAGAGAAATGCATGATGAAGCCATGAGCTCGGGATCTGAAGCTCGGCCTGAATCAAACGTCAAAGAAAAAAGATGGGTCTGAAAAATTCAGTTTATTTATAGAGCGCCAAGTCACAACAGAAGTCGTCTCAGGGCACTGAACAGAAACATTCATATATAAAAATAAGTTAATAACATTAATTATCTGAGGAGCAGACTGCTTTGAATTTAACTTCATCACAGAACTCTCATCTTGAACAAGCATGAAGGCGACAGTGGAAAGAAAAAACTCCCTCATGACGAAGAAACCTTTAGCAGTACCAGGCTCAGGACAAGCGGTCATCTGCTTCGACTGGCTGGGTTTGAAAGGAACAGGAAGGAAGAACAGATACACAATGGCAGGTCAAGAATCACATGTTAAGATAGAAATAGTATCAAATGAAAACTATTCAATTTTAGCAAATCATTTAAGGAAATTAGGTCAGTGTGCCCTTTAGTAGTCTAAGTCTATAACAGCATAACAAGTCATTCCTAACTATAGGATTTATCAAAAAGGAAAGTGTTAACCAGAGTCTTAAAACTAGACAATGTGTCAGCCTCACAGACAGGATCTGGAAGTTGACAACAAAGTCCATGCTCAATAATCCAGGTATACAATCCAACATTTTTCAGTCAGGTCATCTGGACAGTTTCTTTTTTTTTGTGTGTGCTGAAACGTTTCGCCTTCGGTCCGGAAGGCTTCATCAGTCTAAGAAACACACAACAAAACTAATTATTCCTCCAACAGCTCACTCCAAAGTGGAACAAACCAGTTCTGCTTGTTTGTTTTGTTGTGTGTTTCCTTGACTGACGAAGCCTTCCGGACCGAAAGCGAAACGTTTCAGCACATAAAAAAAGAAACTGTCCAAACTGGTTTGTTCCACTTTGGAGTGAGCTGTTGGGGGAAGAATCAGTTTTGTTGTGTTTTCTTGACTGATGAAGCCTTCTGGACCGAAGGCGAAACGTTTCAGCACACAAAAAAAAAAAGAAACTGTCCAAATGACCTGACTGAAAAATGTTGGATCTGGAAGTTGGTTCCACAAGAGAGGAGCCTGATAACTAAAAGATCTTTCTCCCATTCTGCTTTTGGAAACTCTAGGAACCGCAAGTAAACCTGCAGTCTGAGAGTGAAGTGCTCTGTTGGGAAAATATGGAACAATAAGATTAGTAATATAATATGGAGCTAGGTTGTTGAGAGCTTTGTAGTTTAGAAGTAAGATTTTGAATTAAATTCTGGATTTGACAGGGAGCCAATGGAGAGAAGCTAAAACTTGAGAAATATGGTCTCTTCCACTAATTCCAGTTAAGACTCTGGCAGCAGCATTTTGGAGTAACCGAAGACTTTTTAAAGAAGTATTTGGACAGCCAGATAATAAACCATGGCAATAGTTCAGTCTAGACGTGACAAATGCATGGACTCGTTTTTTCTGCATAATTTTTAGATAAGATGTTTCTAATGTTAGTGATATTACGCTGGTGGAAGAAGGCAATTCTAGTAATGTTTTTAGTGAGGGGGACAAAAAACATGTCCTGATCAAAAATAACACCAAGATTTTTAACATTAGAGCTGGAGGCCAGATTAATGCCATCTAAGGAGGGAGAAAGACTAAAAAATTCATTCCTAAGATGCTCAGGTCCAAAAACTAAAACCTCAGTCTCTATAAAAGTCTCCATATTCTCTATTCCACACATTTGGAGCTTCAAATGCAAAAGCCCCATTACCTTAATATTTTAGATTGTTTCTAAAACGTGAGGTGATCAAAAGAAACTGGTTGGTTGACCAGAGTAGGGTTAAGTGGTTTTTTTTTGTACCGGTTATAAAACAAGCCTCTGCATTCTGGACAGTTTACAATCTAAAACAGAATACAAAGAATTTAGATAGTCCAGTCGAGACGTCATAAAACATAAATTACATTTTTAAAGTCTGACTTTACCTTAGTCATGAGTCTAAATTGGGGAAAAAAACTGATAAACTTGAATATCAGCTGCAAAGCAGAGGAAAGGGATGTTGTTTCCTATAATTGGACTACATAGGCAACTTTTCCTTGTCAGAAACATCCAACCACCAAAGTTTGTGGCATTAAAATTTAGTTTTCATTCGGGTCCAAACAGGAACTAAGATTAATATCTCTATAAAGACCACAACTTTATATTTTTTAGCCATAATATGGTGGCCAGTGGATTATTCCTCAGAATTTAGGAGCTTAAAAATGCCTCCTACATACACAATGACGGAGTGTATCTTGAATCAACAATGACGCGCTTTAACTTTTATGCAGTACAAACCATACAACAAACTAACAAGATCTAATATCCACATATTACACACTCAGTACTTTACTTAAGACACATATGTTGACCTTTCACAACAGGAAAAAGGAAAAATGACCAAGATTGGAAGAATAATGACTCAGTAGTTATTTTTGTATATGTTATGTTACACTACCATGGCAACCAATACTGGATATCTGATTACACACACAGTATTACACACATTACACACAGACCGTATTTTCAGGTGTATAAGTCACATCAGTCAAAAAAAGCATCATGAAGAGGAAAACAACATCTATAAGTCGCTTCAGAATATAAGTAGCATTTATTATGCATTTATTTAATGGTGAAAACAGCTTCATTTCATCTGGGCGGCGCGGCACCATCCAGCCGGAGCCGCTAGCTCTCCAGCGTTCCTCCGCCCGCACCAGATGAATGAAGCGAGCGCGCACGGGAGGACTCGCTGTTGCAGTTCTTAGAAATTTAACAAGATTAACACTTTAAAGCAATTTAACTTATTTGTTTGCTCTGAATTATAGCAAAGGTGTGTCTCAGTTTAACTTTTCCTTAATAAATGTACTTTAATGGTCAAAACAGCTGCATTTCACTTGAGCAGCGCGGTGCCATCCATCCGTCCATCGAGGCCGTACCCACTAGCTCTCCAGCGTTCCTCCGCTTGCATCAGCTGAGTGAAGCGAGTGCGCAGGGGAGGACTTGCTGTTGCAGTTCTTAGAAAGTCTAAGTGTCAGTCAAAAATTGCGTTATGAAAATGAAAATAAAAGTATGTATGTCGCTTTGGTGTATAAATTGCAGGACTGATAATCTATGCAAAAAAATGTGACTTATACGCTGGAAAATATGAGTAGGAATACTAGTACAAGTAGTAAGTAGTAGTTTGTGTGTATATATATATATATATATATATATATATATATATATATATATATAT